GTAGATGTAGGTTGTAGTGAGCCGAGATCGCACCACTGCACTTCAGCCTAGGTGACAGAGCGAGACTCCATCTCCAAAAAAAAAATAAAATAAAATAAAATTTTTTGTAGAGACCTGCCCAGGCTGGCCTCAAACTCCTGGGCTCAAGTGATCCTCCCACCTCGGCCTCCCAAAGTGCTGCGATTTTAGGTGTGAGTCACCATGCTTGCCCAGAGCACATGGTTTTAATTCAGTGTGAAATTAGGAGAGAGCTGGGCTGCCTGTAGTCTGAAACCCATGTGTTCAAAAAGAATAGCTATAATTTGTTCTTCCTCTTCTCTAAACATGGGATACTCCAGGGATTTTGGGAGAAGGATCACATGAGAATTTCACTGCCATCCTTGGACATGAGGCTAGGAGACCCTGAAAGATTAACTTTTTCTGCATTGTCAGTGTTTTTTCCTCAGGTAACTTATGGAGCCTGGGGAAAGGCGAAGGAGCTAGGTGTCCACCAGAGAAATGGTAGCAGAAATGGACCCTGAGAGGTTGCTCTAGTCCCTCTTTCCAGTACTCCTGCAAGATATTCCTCACAAGTGGGATCATTTGGGATAACTTCAGGGAAGTCATAGGAAAGCTTGCAGAGCCCAGCATCTGAAGCAGCCTAACTTTTGGTAACCAGCTCTCTCTTCTGTTTTGTTCCATGGACAAAATAGGACAGCTTCCAATTCTAGAAGGGGAAGTTTTTGATTCTGTGAAGCCAGGACTTTCTGCTTTTGTAGATCAACCTAAGCAGGTGAGTTTCTTATGATTTGATGTTTAGATTCTCAATGCCTTGATAACTTGACGACACCACTGCTGTTAAATATTTCATGCTGCTCACTAATGAGATTGAGGTCATGTGTGAGATCAGCTTTCTCTCCTCAGCTAATCTCCTGGATAACATTAATTATATTTCCCACGCTCATGAGGGCTGGGCGGAAGAAGGCTGGTAAATTGGTTGTGGTAATTTAAGGATGACACTAGCTTTGACGAGATTGTTCCCTGTGTACTTACTGTTTAAAATTTTGAGTTGAAGCCATCAGTTGCATTTGTTCATGCAAATGCAGAAGGTAGACATGAAGTTCTATAGGGTGTGATGTATAAACATGGCAGTTGAAGGGATGGTGAGCAGTGAATTCCATTTCAGAGTGCCTTGATGCAGGGTGGAACCATACCTATACTTGAGAAATTAGGCAACAACCCATGATGACAAAAATCTTTGGTGGTAGAAAATGAATAGAGAGTTTGTGGCAACTATATTTCATATTTGAGCACCCACAACATATTGCATCCTATGTGTCTGAGGCCACACTGAAATAGAATAAGGCAGAATGTTAAACTTGGGGAGCAAATGTAAAGGCATTTATTATTCAGTGTCACAAGAATAATCATTACCCAAATGCCTGATGTTAAAAATGATTTGAGTTTGGAGAACTGAGAGGAGAT